CCCCAAAACCCCAAAACCCCAAAACCCCGAAATCTATGATCAGTCAGTTATAAGTGAATTAGATTAAAAATTAAACAATTGATGCTGATATAATTATACTAATGGATATCGAAAATTATGGCAACAATCCAATGTCTGACTAGTCTGTTACACCATTGACTTCAAGAAGACATGATTAACCTGTAATATAATAGTATTCATGATTTATATAAGAGTGAGAAGAATACTGATATGAAGATTAATAAAATTAAAAAGAAGTAAATCTCTAAGTAAAAAAATGAATAAAAGCAAATCAAGCCACCTTGAATAACTTTTAATGCATTCAGTAAGTATTTTTATGTAGATTTAAGGCTAATTTAGATTCACAATACAATATTATTAAAGAAGTAGCAAAGGGCTAGTTTAATTGGAGAGTTATATGTTAAAAAGATCCTTGGATGTAGGGAGTTGACTGGGATATCCAGTGGACAGATACTGCACCATCAATTGATAAATTTTCGAAGATAAAACCATACTAAAAAATAAATCATTTTCCTGCGATGTTTCAAATAGCAAGAAAGAATTACTTAGCAAAGAATCTCAAGAAAATGTAAAAGAACTTCAAAGATGATTATAAATTCTTCCCAAAGACTTGGCTACTTCCATAAGATTTAAGCGAGCTTAAATAGATCATTGCACAGAATTCTCAAAGGAGTATAAAACAAGTATATATTGTGAAGCCTGAATCCTTGTCTCAAGGCAAAGGAATTTTTATCACTAAGCGCGTTGATTAGATAGATCCAACTGAGCATCTTGTGGTATAGAAGTATCTTAAATATCCTTACCTGATAGATGGACTAAAATTTGACCTTAGAATATATGTGCTAGTTACCAATGTCTAGCCATTAAGAATATTTATTCATAAGGAAGGACTAGCTAGGTTTGCTTCAGAATAATATTAACACAAATCATATAGCAATCCTTTTATACATCTCACTAATTACGCAATTAACAAGGACAATCAAAATTTTACTTCAGATCAAAATGGTGAAACAGGCCATAAAAGAAGCCTTAAATCAGTTTACTAGACTCTATAAAAGGATGGTATCGATATAGAGAAACTATAAGATAGAATTGATGACATAATAGTTAAAACTCTAATTTCAATTCAGCCAGATTTAGTACATAATTATAGAACATGCTAGCCTGGAGATTAATTTAATAATATGTGCTTTGAAATACTTGGGTTCGATATCATTCTTAATAAAAAGGGAGTACCTCAACTCTTAGAGGTAAATCATGCTCCAAGTTTTAATGATGATACAAATTTAGATAGGATTGTAAAGAGTCAACTCTTAACTGATACATTTAGATTACTAAATGTGACTCTTCCAGAAAAGAACAAAGTATTGGAATAAATTAGATTATAAACGGAGTAAAGAATTATAGGTAGTATAAAGATAACTAAATAGCAGCATTTATCATAAAAAATAGACATTTATCTTGAAAGACTCAGGGAAAGAGACAATTATGAATTTGAAAACTTAGGAGGGTATAGAGTCATATACCCAGCATATATCAAGGATTCAAATATGATTGATCAGGAAAAAATGATAAAATATTAGTAATTCCTTGATTGTGCCAAAAAGTATACCATGGATATTAAAATAGCGAAGGATGAAGAATCAAAAGTTCAAGTTAAATAAACTTTGATAAAGACTGTCAAACCAGAATTAGATTCTATTAAAAAAGTGATCCCTGAGAAGTTAAGAAGAAATATCTCAACATAGTCTTATAAAAATTTGGCTGACTTCTTGAATAAAAAATCTTAGATTTAACTTGCATTGACAAAAAATTACGAAAATAATACCCCAAAAAGAGGCTAAATATTATCATGTTAAAATATAGACTTAACTAGTGCTAGCAAGATCAAGTTCTAAGATCTTAGCATAAGTCCCTCTCATCAAGATAATCCATAGAGTCCTGAATTTTTTCAAGAGAATGGTTCAATCGAGAGTAGCTAGCACTAAGATTTTATGACCAACTTTACCAATCCGAAAAATGTGAAACTAAACCTTTGAGAAAATTTAATAGAAAAAAAATATAATGAGATTTAGCAAAGGAAAGCATTTCTTTCTTTTAGAAAAGACAGCATTGAATCTTAAAATACATTAGAACCAAAGCAAGATTTAGATTAGATTATTAAAACTAGGAACTACAGCGAATATTATGATTAACTTGGAGCAATTAGTATTTAATCTAAATTTAGAGAGTCCTCTGAAAAACCTTTAGATGAATCAAAGTTATATCATTCAGCCTCAAAGCCAACTTAAAATAGTGAAATGAAAGATAAGGAAATCAAAAATCTTATGATAGTCAATAGTTTTCAATAACCTGATAAAGCTCTGCCAAGCATTAATATAAATAATCCTAAAACTAGGGAACAAGTTCAGAATCTATTAGGCATGATTAGTGAGAGATAGAGATTGCAACAACAGCAAAAGATAGGTATTAATTTGATAGTCAATGCTTAACAAATAAATGGGGGAAGGTCAAGGAAAGTATTAGCACCAAGTTTAAATAATTAATTAACTCTTGATAATACCACAATAAACGATAACTAATCAGTGGAATCAAATTCAGCGAGTAACTTTAATTAGAATTTATTATATACACCATTGATCTAAAATAATAATCATCAAAAGTATCCTCATATAATTTAATCGTAAGCATACATTAAAACCTAAGATTTGGCTAGCTCATAAGTTCCTCAAATAGGTTCTAATAATATGGATAGAATGATGAAGATTTACAATAGATACATAAGTCCAGATAAGAAAGCTAAATCATCTTTTCAAACTCAAAACAATTCTGTGATTTAGGCATCCTTCCTTGACATTACAACTGCTCCTGATAACAAAAGAATGATAGAATTCCTTAAAAAGGATGTTGGTCCAATAAATGCATTGAAGGTTAAGAAATCAAGAAATTTCAACAATTAAATAAGCTTCAAGACTCAATAGCAAGTTTAATCACTTTAAGATAGGCATCGATCTCTGGGATAACACTTTGCTCCTTTAGAAAAAGACACAAATATGAACCAAATTTTGAGAAAGTACTTTACAAATGAAAATAATCCGATAAAACATTCAAATTTCATTTACTTTGATAATAGTACTTCAACTAACCACAAGAGCGAATACTAACTGCCAAAGACTTAATTTAAGCAGTATATCAGCTCTAAAAATCAACTACGAAATGAATTGGATTCCTAGATGTCAACTGTATCAAATAACACTCTCTAGATTGATATTAATGAAACTTAAAATAGAGTAATTAATAAACTTGAATAAAGAAATTTGAATGTTATGATGAAACTTGTGCCTAAAATCAACAATAGCAGATCTAATAATGATACCTAGCAGATTAATAGGTCTATTTAAAAAAATCAATTCGGGAACTCATCCAAGTAGCTGTAATGAGATAAGCGTTTTCCATACTTTATTTATTAAGGTTCGATATTTATAATCTTAATTTCATAAATATTCATTTGAGAGAATAATTAATTAACAAAAACTAATCTATATTTATTATTCACTTGATGAACCCGTATTTCTTGGCTAAGTCAAAAACAGTTGGCTCCTTTCTTTCGCTAAACTATATAAATTATGGATTTTGACCCTTGTCATTATGTAAATGGTCCCAACTCTCCGGATAAGGTCCAACAAATGAATTATTTAGGTTTTTACCTTCAGCAATATCCCTATATTCTTTGGGATCAATTTCCTTGTTTTCTTCTTCGTCTGATAGATATGGGTTGGCTGCATCATCTTCTAAATCGGAGAAGAAAGAGCGATTATTATCCTCAAGATCTCCAGCATTTAGCTCTTATTCTGTATCCTCTAGTTTTGACATTTCCTCGCCAGTTAGTGGATCCTCAATTGATTCTCTCTAGATTTACTGTCTTTAGATATATTACTAGAATTCTTCATCAGACATTTTGGCGTTATAGATTTTTGGCATTTTAAGCCAAGAATGATTTAGCATTGTTTTAGCAGATGCTCTTTTCTCAGGGTCCCAGTGCAGCATAGGAATCAAAAAGTCAGCGAATGACTATGCCTCAATTTCCTTAAATTTATATTTTTCAACTAAGACCTTCTTCAAAGGCCAGAAGTTCAATCCTCTAATTCTTCTTAAATGCCCGGACCTGTCAAAGAATTTCTTATATTTCTTTCCTGATAATGCAAGATTTCTCGGCATTCTTCCTAATAACTCCATCATTTGAGCAAGATGATCATCATCCTTGCCATACGTCTTTCCTTTTCTAGGTTCAAATAAGAAATCACCAGTTGCCATTTCAAATATCATGCAAGCGAATGACCATATATCTGCAGATGCTCCATACTTCGATCCAATAATGACTTCTGGAGATCTATATTGTCTAGTTTGGATCTCTGTTGAGAATTAATGATAGGTCCAGCAACCATTTCCTAGATCGCAAATTTTAAGTCTTAATGTTTCATCTAGCTTAGGACCCCTCTTTTTAGCCTTATCTTCATCAATTTGTTGCTGCATCAATCTTGGATCTAAGTTTTATAAGTTCAAGAGAGGGATTCCATTTTATCCTAAACTAGCTTAAGCTTTTTGCTACAATTAGTCTTAGTTATTAGCTAATGCAGCTCTCTATGATTATTCAAATTTTCTTCTATAAAATAAAAACTCTTGCATTTGTTAATTATTCCTCTCAATATCAACTCTATCATAGGTATATCTCTCTCCCATATAAAGTTACTGCATTATAAATTGATATTCCTCTTCATTTTCTGGGGATAAACTTCCTTTAGGTGAAGGGATATACTTCAATTTTGGTAAAGTGTGAGCTCTTGGAACTTCAACATACTACTCAAGCATTTCATTAAGTTATCTCATTTAAATTGCATTTAAATTTCTTAAGGAGAAGTCTATTTGCTTTTGCTAGCTTTCATTATAATTTTGCTAATCCTTTGCCTTCTCGTTTGGCTTGCCAGATGATTTAACTTAATTTTAATTTTGAGATGTTTACATTGTCAATTGAGTTGACTATGAATCATCAGTTCTTGTTTGATTTTACTTTTATGCATTATTTTCATTTTTATTGTTGAAAGTTAGATTTTTCTTGTTTTTTTTGTTTTTCTTTTGATTTGGCTGATTAGAGTCATTTCCAATTCTATGTGTATTTTAAGATGGTGATAAAGTATTTTCTTAGTTTCTTTCTGCAGTGATTAAATCTTCCTCTGTTTGCACAGTTTCATAGTTATGAGTTAGAATTTTCTCTTACTCATCAGGCTACTTTTGTATCAATCCTTTCTTTTCCTTCTTTCTTTATTTTTGCCTCTTTTTTTTCTCTGCTCTTTTGTTTTATTTTTCATGAATTTACTTGTCATCCTCTTAGTGATTTTTCCTTCCTCTGAAACTTTTAGGGTCTAATCTTGCTGCACATGAGAGCAGCTTAATATCTTCAGGCTGATGATACATTTTAGTTGTTGTTAATTGTCCCCTCTGAGCTATTTCTTGTACTTCTTTATCTGTCAAGCATAGATTAACATTTTCAGGCTTAAGATCTGTATGAATAATTTTGCAAACTCTATGCAAATAATCTAAACCCATCAAGCACTACTTTGCCATAATTCTAACTAAGGGCATTGGAGCACCTTTGTAATTATATCTCTTAATTACTTCCAAAAGATTAATTCCTAAAATTTCAAATACCATTACAAAATGCTTTCCATGTGGACCATGATGAATGAGACAATTCAAAAGCTAAACAGCATAGCAATCATTGCCTGTAACATTCTTCAATTTTTCTGGATTATCAGCATAATATTTTTTAAGCGAGTTAAGCCATTCAGGCTTTACCCAGTAAGATGAAACTTAATCTAGAATTTCAACTTCATCAAAAGCTGCTTCTAAATAATGTGGTGCTGATCTTTAAATTTTCAATGCTACATATGTATTATAGTGAATATCTTTAGCAAGCCACACTGTAGAGAAATGACCCCAACCAAGTTTCTAGATAATAACATATCTCTCAATAAGGATTTCTCTAACAAAGATAAAAATCAAAATATTACCCGACATGCATTGGATGATAACCACCAATTTTGTAATCAGCCAATCCTTCGTCCTCTGATGAATCAGAGTCTTCATAACTACACACTCACATGATTTCAAAAAAACTTACAAGCTAGCACCTAATTTGTACTTAAGAGGAGTTGATTCTAAAAGGATCTCATCTTATCCTTATCCTGTTGCTTTATTAACTTCATCTTATTAATTATCAAGACCTTCTCCTTACTTTTTTTTCTTTTTGTTCCTCTTTCTCTTTTTTTTATTAGCCTTTGAAGGTCTCACATCTGCACCATCATCATTATTATCATTTTCAAGTTAATCCCCGAAATCGCCATAGTTTCTATGCTCTTGTTCACCCTCTTAACTATCAAGTAATTCATTTAATTGATCATGAATATTTCTCCTCTCTTCACTCGCCATTTCTAATTTTTATAATTTCAATTTTTAAAGATATACTATAGTTAATCTGCCGGGGTTTTGGGGTTTTGGGGTTTTGGGG